CTTCCTTGCTGTTCACTGAGCACGGAACTTCTCCTTAAGCCTGTTCTTAATTCCCCCATTTTTTTCAGACTCTGAAATTAATAGTAAAATACTAATACTTACTATTATTATTATTTTATTTTAAGGGGAAGGAAATAAGTGCAAAACCAGGTATCACAATGGAATCAACAGTGGCCCCTGATCCTGTAGCTAAATCAATGGAGCTACACAAAGTGATGTTTCCAGAATACTTAAAGGCCTCTCTTTAAACAGAGCTGAGCACCTGCAACTTCATTTCAGTGAGCTCTGGGTGCTCAGTAGCTTTGAAAATCAGGCCCTGCTTGTCTGCAAATAGAGGCCTAGATGTGTAAATGACTGAGTGAGTAAGGGTGTGATCTTATTGTTATCCTTTTCTTTCCTTTTCCCTTCCTCCTCTTTGTATGTCTATTGATAACCCTCATTGTTGTACTCCCTGGCTACGTCTTCTCTAAGAGTTTTGCCACAAGAGCCTATGCAAATGAAGAATGGATTAGTATTTTCTCGCGCTTCATTTGCATACTCTCTTCTAATCCATTTTTGTGCTAGGGGTTTTTGCGCAAAAACAAGCAGTGTGGACGTTTCCTTTTTGTGCAAAAACTCCTTTTTATGCAAGATCGGTATACCTCCTCCTTTTTTGAGGCAAAAGGGGTTTTTGCGCAAAAAGGAAACATCTAAAACATCAAAAACCCCTAGTGCAAAAATGGATTGGAAGAGAGTATGCAAATAAAGCACAAGAAGATGTGAATCTGTCCTTCATTTGCATAGGCTCTTGTGGCAAAACTTGTAGCGTAGATGTAGCCCCTGTAAAGTCGTCCATGTCAGAGCCTATATCTTGTTTTGTCATGCACCTTACACACTTTTCATCTCTTAGAAATAAGGAGTAATAGAGACCGAAGCCAGACCTGAGTTTTTGTAGTAGCTCCTGTATTCACTGCTATAAACAGTCTGGGGGATTTGAAGACAATTTGGAGCTAATATAGATGAGCGGGAGAAAGAAAATTCCATCTTCTTGTAAGAAGCCAATGAACTTGCAGATAGTCAGTTGGTCTCTAAGGTGCTAAAGGAACATTCATTGTTTAAGTTTTTCTAGTTCTATGAGTTACCATAGTGTCAATGTAAAATGCTGTGTAGTGCTATGCAGTAATTTGTTCTTGCAGGCTTTTGTGCTGTGCGGAACACTAGTATCAGATGGTAATCTTAGTGGCATAAGTAGTTATTTAATAAAAATAATTTAGAATGAGAGGTTTTTCTAATCAAATCACTATAATTTATGATCCCAAGGCAGAGGCAGGTATACTATTACCTTGGAGTTCACTGTTTATATTTTATGGCTCATATTGCTCCTGAGTTCAAACAAAACCCCCCAAAAGAGTTCAGTTATTTAAAGTTGAGTGCCTAAATTCATGCCTAAATTCATAAGAAAGCAGCTAAATGAGTTCTCTATTTTTCAGTGGTATTGATCACCCACACTTCCCATTAGCTTTGTGATCTCTTAACATTAGGCTACTTATTTTGGTACTTAAGTGAGGTTATAAGCCCCCAAGACCAAAATTGAAGGCCAGAGTTTAGCAAAGTGTCTACACTTTGCTTTGATGAGGTCCAGGCTAACAACCTGCCAGGAATCCCAAGTCTGGACCTAATTTATAGGAGAGAGAATGGATTTCAGTCTTAATGTTGGAAACTGCATGTCCCAACATGTGATAAACTCCACGGCTCACCTGTCCCACAACAACTGGTTTTCTGCATCTAAAAGCCAGGGCTGGCATTAAAGTGTAGCAAGTAGGGATGTAAGCGACTAGTTGCATCATCCACTTGACTACTCACTCCCTCCCCCTTGCTGCTTCTGTATCAGAGGCAGCAAGTGTGTGGGGAGGGAGGTAACAGGAGAGGGTGCTGGGGGTGCTCGGCCCCTACTACAGTAAACTTCCGATAATCTGGCACCTTTAGAACCCAGGGGGTGCCAGATTATCAAATATGCCAGACTATCAGAAGGGGGGGCTATGAGGGGCTCCGACCCCTCCTAGCCCCTCCCTTCCAATAGTCCGGCTCTGCCCCAGGTCAGTTTCAGCAGCGGCTGAATTGGGGACGTCTGCAGCAGAGCAGCTGGGGCGCTGCCGGGTTCGTCCGGTAGCACCAACCCTTGGCGCGGCAAGACCAACCCGGCAGCACCCTAGCTGCTCTTGGGGATGCTTGGGGCAGAGCAGCTCCCAGAGAGCCGGGGTGGTCCCGCAGCGCCAAGGGGTGGCGCTATGGGAAAAACCCCAAGGGGCAACGCTACGGGACCTACCCGGCAGCACTCCAGCTGCTCTGCCCTAGGCGTCCCCGATTCAGCCGCTGTTCAGTTTTAGCAGAGGCTGAATCGGGGAAGCTGGGGGCAGAGTAGCTCCAATGGTCCGGCTGCCCGGAGCACTTCCGGGTTCCTGATGGTGCTGGACCATCTGGAGTGCCGGGCCATCAGATGCCAGACCATCGGAGTTTTACTGTACATTTAAACTGCAGAGCTGCAGCAGGGGGAGCTCCTGGACGAGTGTGAGCAGGGGCTGAGCACCTTCCCTTATCGACTAATTGTGTAGTCGATACAAATTGTATCAACTACATGATTAGTCAATTTACTCCCTCTTAACAGCCTCAGTAGCAAATGGGCCAACTGCCCAGGGCCCCATACCATAGGACGGCCCATGAAGTTGAGTTGTTCAGGCTTCTGCTTCAGCCCTGGGTGGGAAGACACCGGGCTTTAGCCCTGCATGGCAGGGACTAGACTTTCTGCTCTGGGCTGCTGCAAGTTTAACACAGGTCCTGGCTGGTGGACCCCCTGAAACCTGCTCACAGCCACCCCACCAGGCCCCAAAAACCCGGATGAGAACCACTGTACATGGTAGCAACTTCAGTGAAGATTTGGAAGAGAACTTGCAAATTCCTTGTGGGAGAATTTAAAGACTTTTCCATAAGAATTTTCTAGATTTCAATCTTTCTATCTGTGGGAACATTTTTGCTTACTTTTCTTTTTCCGAATTATAGGTGCTTTGTAAGAGTGCTATAAAAGAAAATAAATAAAATGAACTTTGATTTAATGCTGCTTAGGACTTAATTAAATCCATGAGCTCCATTTACTGTGGTTGTCTTGGTTATAATACAATTAACAAAACAAGTTTAGTTTTTCATATGGATCATTAATTTAACTATTACTTAAAAGGTAAGCCCTTTACATTTTATAATCCTAGACTGTGAGCACTGTGAGGCTGCGAATGTTTTTTGTACCATGATTAGCACAATGGGTCAAGTCTTCTAGATGCTACCATAAATAATAATAAACACACAAAGCTGGAGTAAAGAACAATTTAAATCAACAAAGTAATGGCATTATTGAAATAATAACCAAATAATTTTTTTCTTCTACTATAACCCAGGGCAGAAATAAATATAAATATGTAATAAAAGATATAGTGGATTTCTACTTGTTAGAGTTTGAGGACAGGCTGTTTTTGTATTTGGAATATGTTGCTTCTTTTTCTGGCTATTAGACAATGCTAACATTGCATTGTTTATTAATAATAACCATCATCATCATAAATAATAATAAAAACAATATGCCAAAGAGGAGGATCTCAGCTATCCTGATAAGAGCCATGTAAGTATCTAGACAGAGTAGAGGAAGTATATTACTTTTCTGAGTGGGTTAAATAGCCTGTGCATTTAAAGCTTGAACAATAATTAACCACCTACACTATTGTGACCATCCTTTTTATTTTTTACTCTGCCAACTCTTAGCAACAAGATAAGAGAAGCAGCTTGCTCTCTGAGATGGACAGAAAATGTTCAGCGGCCCGCTACCTTCCTCTGTATTGCAGGAGCCTAAAATAGAGAATATTTTAGAGGCCAAAATATGATTTTTAATTCCAATATTCATTACAAAGTTCATAACTCAGCAATTATGAAATGCTGCTACAGAAACAGAGAAAATGCTAAAAGGCAGCATCTAATACACATCTATTTTCTTTGTAGATTGATTGTTAAATAAATAGTACTGCACAGATAACTAAGTGTGGGCAAAATCATGTTCTTGCCTCTTTGAGAAGTAACAGGAGAGAGCTGCAGAAGTGTAGCAGCCAGGCAAACATAAAACATCCTACTCAGTCTCCTCCCTTGCTTCTTCAGAGCAGATCTGCTCACACTGCACAGCTGATAACCAGAGATAACAAATTTGCCTTTTCAGATATGAGTGTCCATTAAATGCATTCCAGGAATCTGCTTGTTTGAGGGAGATGAGTCCCTTTTTAACTTACCAAAGTCAGGTGGTGAAGTATAAAAGAGTTTAGGTCCTGCAATTGGTGGTGTTCTTTTCCCTAGTTTAGTGGCTCTCAACCTGAAGTCCACAGATCCTTGGGAGTCTGCAGACTACAGGCAGTCCCTGGGTTACGTACAAGATAGGGACTATAGGTTTGTTCTTACGTTGAATTTGTATGCAAGTCGGAACTGGCTCCAGATTCAGCT